AGATGTGTATAAGTATTCAGACTAAACTAAAAAGAAATTATTAAATGTGGATGAAAATTGACAAAGTAATTACCTGTGCTGATCAATGTACCTCCTAACATCTCCTATTGTATCTTCATATGCTAACTTTAGAATGTACGTTTCATTACCCGCTTCAGATTTCACGCGTAGAGTGGCTACATTGCGAGCTGATGATGGACGGGATGCCCTGTTTGCAGATTTCTCATGTGCTGAAGCGGGGTTGTTAACACGTTCCTTGATTGATTTTACAATAGGGGTGTCTAGGATGGTAACTTGAGGGCCCGACTCAGAATTTGACGCCAATTGGCTGCTGATAGACGACCGAATATCAATGACGTTGCCATTTTTCACAATGCTTTGAGGTAGCTTCTCCAAGAACTGGTCTAATGATAATTTAGGGGCTACACAAGTAAGGAAAAAAAGAAAAAAAAACGTATTCAAATATATTTGTTTTGAATATAATTTTTTTGCATTTTATCAAACAGACTGCCAGACCTTCCATTTAGGTTTTGTCCCATGTGCCAAAACAAGTATACATGTACAAACATATATTCTTTAAATGTTATTAAGTCACATATCATCAAAATAGTGTATCTAATAAAGTGGCGGGAACATTTTAAGGGGAAAGTAAACTTGTTGCTGGAAAAGGACGATAATTTCTATAACCTCTGCCTAGTGTGAGTTTTCTCATCCTCTTTTTGCATGGGTTGGTATATGTTCAGAGGGTGCCCCCCCACTCATGCAATCTTTTGTACTGCCAGCAACATAGTAACATACACGCCAAACATCGTTATTTGTACATTATCGTCTAGGTGTGTCTTCCCCGAACTATCAGCCGTTAAATCTAAATGGTTCTACAATGCATAACAATGAAGTAATGAACGCTAGAATGTTATCCTGGTTTCAACGAATATAGTCATCCTATGGGATGAGTATACTCGTTGCTGGCAGCAAATGTGTTAAATTCAAAATTTTATGATCAGAATGAAATATACATATTATCTGTTTACGTTTCATATGTTATTTTACACAAATTTATATCAAGTGGCTCATTATCTCTCTGCATTCTATTTCCATGGCCACATACCTCCACTTACAGATGGTATTAACCATCATTCAAATTGCAAAATGAATGTTGTATGATGTACTAAATGAAAATGTCAATATCACATGTTTATTCCCTGATGCAAGCAATTTGTAGTAGGAGGCCATTTTTAATGAATAAACCCATCTCTGCTCCATGGGATATACATGGTCATTAGTACTTTAGCACAGCTGACCACTTCAGTTCTCTGTTGGGGTATTCTAATCCTTGCAGTGAGCCGTACTCACGGTAACGAGCAAAAAATAATTATGAACATAATAGTTTGATGCAAGGACAAATTGAGAAGCTTTGGAAATGAACTTTACAAAGCAGAGATTAGAAGACGTCAAAACCATTGAATGAACCACATGCCCTAGTGGCTGAGTAATGAGAAATCGGGAAGGTTGGCTGATTATAATTTGTATTAAAAATCATCTTATTTCCTATATAAAAAGAGTAATCAATATGTTCTTTTCTCTACTCCAGCAGTTAAATCAAACATGTTCACGAAGAGCAGCTTTTATGATGGTAAGTCTTATGAACTGAAGTAGAAGCCTGTGACACATATGATACACTATGCTCCAAGGATTAATAAACTATATGTGAGGTCTCACCACAAAATGAGTCTCATGGTTAGAAATTTAAAAATTGAGTTTTTATTATATTTGGGTAGATCACATTATAAGCTTTCATTTGGTCTTTGAATGGTTTCTCTACTATAAGTAAATCCAGAGATGTGAGCATTTAAATTTTAGGTGTATAAGAACCACATTTTGAGAAAATCAGCCTCAAAGATAAACTAACCTGTATAAATAATATGACTAGAATTACAGAAAATGTGCAGAGAGCACTGTTTTGGCAAGAAAATTCACTTTCAAAGTATACTATCATAAGATATAAGTATCAAGTTATTCAAAAACATTAAAATCAAAATTTTGTAAAAATGTTGACTTTGGTCTGTTTTGGTGAATATCTCTATTATTTCAACAACGATGCGTCTCATTTTGTGGTGAGACCTCACATATGTGTTGAACAAATAAACTGGAAAAATAAAATTCAATATCTGTATTGTATATATTAATTTAATAGGTTCAATTTAAAATTGTTTTGGTGAATATCTCTATGATTTCACCAACGATGCGTCTCATTTCGTGGTGAGACCTCATATATGTGTTGAACAAATAAACTGGAAAAATAAAATTCAATATCTGTATTGTATATATTAATTTAATAGGTTTCAATTTAAAATTAGAAGGAATATTTTCTATGCCAACTAAGCCTAAGACTTTTTTTATACCTTGTTTCATAAAATTATTTTTCTAAAGATCGTCAGAGTAGCGGAAAAGAAATAAAAACTAAATTTTGTTGTCTTTTTTTAGCAAATAGTTTTGCCAAAAACATCCAGACAGAGGAGAAAATAAAAATAAAATTTTATTGGTGAATGTAAACAGTGTAGTAATGTGTTAAATGCTTTAACGCGTTGACTGCTAGACCATATTTTTAAGTTCCTTTCTGTGTGTCAAAACAAGTTTACATGTACACACATACTTTTTTGAAATTTCATCTAGTTACATATCATCAAAATGATGTGTCTAAGAAATTGGCGGGAAAATATTAGGGGACGAGTAAACTCGTCTGCGGCACTGTGATAGCACTTTTTAATGACTATGCCAAGTGCGAGTTATCTCGTCCGCTTTTTACATTGGTTGGTATACTGTATGTGCAAAGGGCGCCCCCCCCCACTTGTACCGCTTGAGTGTACTGCCGGCAACATAACACAACAAACATACGTAAGCCATTTCTAGGTTATCGTCTAGGTTTATCTTCCCCAAACTACCACCTGTTAAGTCTGTAGTTCTACAATGTATAACAAAGAAACAGTGGCCTATCTAGAAGTCTTTAAATGTGGGTAGTGATGTGGGGGCGTGAAGGTGATTTTTAACTACTTGACCATGATTTTTTTAGGGGTAGGGGGCGAGAGGGGGCACAGTTAACTGCAAAGAAGTAATAAACGCCAGAATTTTACCCCAATTTTGACGAGTATAATGATCAATGGCGCCCTCAGCAACACCCTGTGGGACGAGTATACTCATCGTTGGCAGCTAATGTGTTGAATTTATGTAATTAGGAAGAAATATATAATTTATTTTGGAGATTTCAAGGCAGCGGCAGGTGTAATAAAAATAAAGAAAAACTTATATTTTTTTCTGAAATTTCCATTTTTTCATGGCGGCGGGTGTGCGCTAATTGACCACAAGTAAAATTTTATTTTATTCAAAATTATCATCATTGGTGGCCGGTGGGTTTGCTAAACAAGGTAGAAGAAAAGTATTGCCTAAACCATCTGCATATTGTATATTTATATTCATTGCACACACCTTGAAACTGGCTGGTAATATATTAAAACATTTTTGTACTACAAAAATGTTTTAATACATTACCAGCCAGTTTAAGGGTGTATGCAATGAAAAAGTGTATGCTGCAATAGCAAAACAAAAACTGAATTGACTTGATCTGGAAGTTGTTCGCATAATTGACCTTTCGAAATGCACACTTTGAGTTTTCTCAAACATTTTTTTTTTTGAGTTGTATTGTACAGTTTGTCTTTTTAATCCAACGGCATTTGAATTACATCCTGGAAGAACTTCAAAATGTGTTTTATGCCAAAGTCAACAACTGTAAACATTAGCCCTAAGGCATTGAGGAAGTTACCACCAGGAAAACAAGCTTGAGCGTTATTCCTGATATAGCGAGACTTTTTTTATACCTTGTTTAGTGAACACACCGACTGCAAATAATGATTTTGAATAAAAATAACATTTTATTTTTGGCCAATTAGCACACCCACCGCCACGAAAAAGTGGAAATATCAGAAAAAAAAAATGTTTTCATTATATTTATTATTAAATATAAGATATGTATATTTTTTCCTAATTATATAAATTTGAAGCATTTAACCATCCTATTTTACATTCACCAATAAAATTTTATTTTTATTTTCTCCTTCGTCTGGATAATAATAATAATAATAATATGTCGTTCTTATATAGCGCTTCATGCCTTTACAAGGCCTCTAAGTGCTTCACATTACTACCCCGGTCATTGGATCAAACACGTATGGAACACATTGAACACCAAATTAAATTAGTAAATGAAATTATATTATTATTCCATAATATTGCAGCTAGTAATCAGCGCAGGTTGTGTTGGAACCTACCAGGTACCCACTTGTACTCCTGGGTGGAGAGAGGCAACCGTAGATAAAGTGCCTTGCCCAAGGACACAAGCGATTTGCACAGCCAGAGTTTCGAACCCCCGACCTCAAGGTTGGGAGTCCAAGCCACAACCGGTGCGCCAACCGCTCCTACAAGGATGATTTTGGCAAAACTACTTGCCAAATAAGAAAACAAAATTTTATTTTATTTTTATTCTGCTCTCCTCTGATAATCTTTAAAAAACATAAGTATGCGAAACAAGGCATAAAAAAAGTCTGGCTTATAAATAAGACAAGCCAAAACAGTAACTCCTCGGAAAAAAAAAAGAAGAAAAAAATTAACAAAATAAAAATAACATTTTTAAGTTATCAGGGTTATACAGTAAAATGGTATGGTAGAAAAATCATTTAATTAAATCCAACATTTCATTTAATACGAAGTTACAGAAGTATAAACATACAGTACTGCTGTTTAGAAACAGTTATTTCAGATTTATCAGCCTTCAAAGTTTTTGATTTCAGAGAATTCTCAGGCAGAGACCATAACCAAATCATAACAAGATTTTGTCTTAATGTCAGAAATAAAATAGATTACAAACATGTTGACATTCTAACATGTTTAAGCCATTATCTCCAAACCAGGATTTGTGAGGAGCGACTGGTTTGGCTTGTCTTTGGCACATGATATGTGAAAACACAAGTTCTTATCTAAAAAATATAAACTGTTGCCATTTTTTTTTTGGCCAACAATTTTCAACAACCATCTTTGATTATTACAGTCTTCAATTCATTCCAATTTCATTTCCAGATTATCATAAATATTACAAAAAAAAAAAAAAGTGGAAACATGCTATCCAAAGATTGTCAAAAAAAAAAAAAAGCAGCTACCAAGTGACTATCCAAAAAGAATCCACGCACAACAAAACACAAGCAAGCTCTATAAGAATTTAACAGATAAGCAAATTCATTACTTCAAGGATAGATTATATTACCTCCTTAATTAGAGATCAAATTTAACCAACTGAAACTCTGCCTATATCTATTTATAACTACATTATTATATACAAGGTACATCTATTCATACAAAAAGCCAAGATTGTAAA